TCCCATCTGACAGCAATGCGGATTCTGTGAACTGAGGCAGATCCTGAGAGGGAGGGGCAGGAAGGGTTGCCTCAGCTCCAGTGTTCCCTCTAAGCTGAGTTAGTGTGAGCTAGCTCACAGTTTTTTAACCTCTGACTCACACATTTTTGTCTCCGCTCAGGAAGGATGGCTCCAAAGCAAACTGATTTATGCAGTAGCCAAATAGCTCGCTCACAACTTAAATGTCAGTAGCTCACAAAGTAGAATATTTGCTCACAAGACTCCACAGGTTAGAGGGAACACTGCTCAGTGCTTAGTTCTCGTGGCCCTTTCTTACACGCCCAGGGAAATGCCAATCACCCCTTTGGGTTCAGGAAGCAAGTTTCTCCAGGTCAGTTTGGCTGGAGATCCCAGAGGTTTTTTTGCCATCTTCTGGGCATGGAAAAGGGGGTCACTGAGGTGTGTTTGTGGAGGGGGAGGTATTTGTGAATTTCCTGCATTGTGCAGGAGGTTGGACTGGATGACCCTGGAGGTCCCTTCCAACTCTATGATTCCATGAATGGTCTTTCCCAACATCTATTGCCTCAGTGCTTAGTTCCTGTGGCCCTTTCTTACACGCCCAGAGAAATGCCAATTACCACTTTGGGGTCAGGAAGCAATTGTTCTCCTGGCCAGTTAGGCTAGCCATCCTGGAGGTTTTGTTCGCGATCTTCTGGGCATGGAGCAGGGGTCACTGCTGTGAATTTCCTGCATTGTGCTGAGGACTGGACTACGTGACCCTGGAGGTCCCTTCCAACTCTGTGATTCTAAGTAGCTAAATTTATACTCAAGCATGGCCCTGACCTGGATAGCCCGATCTCCTCAGATTTCGGAAGCTAAGCAGGCTCAGCCCTGGCCAGTATTTGGAAGGGAGGCCACCAAGGAGTACCACGAATGCTAGGAAGAGGAAGGCCTCTGAACATCTCTTGCCTTGAAAACCACACAGGGTCACTGTAAGTCAGCTGTGACGTGACAGCAAAAAAAAAAGGGAGGGAGACAGAGGAGAAGTTACAAGAAGAGGCCTGTGTAAAACGTGAACGAATGGGAGAGTAATCGACCCATTCAGAATGGGTAAGAACCACTCTAGCTGTTGACTGACAGGACAGGATTAGCAATCTAATCATGGAAAATGCAGTGAGAGAGTTGTTAGAACGGATTCAGAAGGGAGACTAAATTGAGGTACAGCTGAATTCACTCAAAGTGGTAAGAGGGAGGTTAATTCAGTGTAAAACATGACATGATGCACGAAAGAGTAATCGGTTCCCACAACCAACCTGAAATGGAATAGTCTCCGTTTGGCGATGCCACGGTGATGGCCGACGCATTGCCGATGCTCTCGACTGGGCCCAGGCCCATGTGGTTACTGAAGCTGAGCATGTGCCACCCCATCACTTTGGCCAGCTGCTGAACGGCGTGCACCTGATGCTGCGACATCTGCAAGTGTGAGATATGAGCGTGCATGCTGACCGAATTTTTCTTCGCGTCCCCTAAATGTCAATGTTTATTCTTGCTCTTCCAATAGGAAAAACCTATTATTTTATTAAATACTGTAACGTATCAATTACTGTTTTCTAGCTCACAGCAGTCTGGAGCAATTACTGCTGTAATTGCACTAAGCCTGGCCCACATAGGCCACAGCCAGCATGGTGTGGTGCTTAGATTGCTGGCCTAGGACCTGGGAGACCCAGATTCGAATCCCCACTCTGCCATGGAAGCTTGTTGGGTGACCTTGGGCCAGTCACACACATTCGGCCTAACCTACATCACAGAGTTGTTGTGAGGATAAATGGAAGAGAAGGGAATAATGTAAGCTGCTTTGGGTTCCATTGGGGAGAAAGCTGGGCTGTAAATGAAGTAAATGAATAAATAGTAGAATGACGTGGTATTATTTCTGGAAATTTTGGAGCCACGTGGAAAAGAATTTCTAAGGGAAAAACCCTCAAACATATGCAACTAATATCTGAAAACAGCGAACCCTTTCATAACATATTGTTGTGCAAGACATTTAACTGCTGCCAAAATTATTCACACCTAAACAATCATATCTTTGAAAATATGTTATATAC